AGGGAGACGCAAGAGCGAAGAGATATGGGAACATATGTATATGTATAACTGATTCACTTTGTTATACAGCAGAAACTAACACACCATTGTAAAGCAATTATACTCCAATAAAGATGTTGAAAAAAAGTACAATAAAATATTATTAAAAAAAAAAGAAAATCATCATTTAAACATCCATGTTCAAGAACTGCAAAGCCTTTAAAAGATGAAGTTCAAACTCCAAAGTTGGCTTAATACCTTCCAAGTAGAATAAAACTATGATCTCTCTGATATTTTGGTTTAAGGATTTAGGTTTTAGGATGTTTCTAACAGATCTAAAAGGGATTACATTCTCCAAAGAAGAGCAAAATAGGATTAACATATGTTTAGGTTTTGCACAGAAAGCCATGCCTTTGTGTTTAGTCTCTTGAAGCTAATTAAGACTAGCCATTTAGTATTATTTTAGGAAGGGTAATTCAGCTTGCATTACCTTCACCTTGCAAAGTTAAGAGGTAAGAAAGAAGTCATACTTCACTTTCAACGTGCTCGTATTTCCCCACTACGTCAGGCACCACACCTGACCAAACAAGATGGCTAGCAAACCCACCATAGTAAAAATACTAAATAATTGGCATTTAAGATTCAACTGGCACGTCAGCATTTCTCCTGATAATGATACTTTGCCTTCCAAAGTGTAACAGTTGGGCACTGAAAGAAATAACTTAGAGCTATTTAAAAGCCACGCTGTCATACAAGTCTTTTTTTAATCCCAAAATTACTTGTACTCTTAAATTCAATAAATTAATCAGGGACTTCCCTGGTGGTGCAGTGGTTAAGAATCCACCTGCCAATGCAGGGATCATGGGTTCAATCCCTGGTCCGGGAAGATCCCACATGCCGCGGAGCAACTAAGCCCGTGCGCCACAACTACTGAGCCTGAGCTCTAGAGCCCACGAGTCACAACTACTGAGCCCACGTGCCACAACTACTGAAGCCCGCACGCCTACACCCTGTGCTCCGCAACAAGAGAAGCCACTGCAATGAGAAGCCCGCAGACCGCCATGAAGAGTGGCCCCCGTTCTCCGCAACTGGAGAAGGCCCACGTGCAGCAACAAAGACCCAATGCAGCCAAAAATAAATAAATAAATAAATTTTAAAAAATAAATTAGTCAAAATGGGACTCTTCTAAACTACATGTTACACCCCTGATCACGTTGAATATGAGCAAGAGTTTATATGTTTTAAAGGTAGAAGAGTTAAAACCTCAATACCTTAGTGTTTCTACAGTGTTCTCCACTTGCTTCCTTTCACTTACTTAATGGATCTGTAAGTTGGTATAGGCGATTTTCTTTTAAAATCTAAGAATGGGCTGTTGCCATGTAACTTCCAGAAACACAGAGGAAGGCACACAGAAGCACCCCGATCCTTCCAACATCTCAAAGACCAACTGATTGACTTCACTATACAAGTACAGTGAAGGAAAGAGATTGATGGTTTAGGTAAAAGAGTCTGGAACCAGAGACTTAGTATCCTGTGAACACCCATCTCCATCTGTCTCGCGTGCTCTCACACAGATAACCCGGTGTGCAGCCCTCTGTGGCAGGCACCCTCTGAGATGGTTCCCAGTGATCCCTGCCTCCTGGAATTCATACCCTTGTAACCCCTTCCCCTAGAGCACGGGCTAGACCTAGTGACTTGCTTCTAGCACATAGGGTATAGCAAAAGCAACTGGATATCAATTCTGAGATTAGGTTACAGAAAGACTATCTCTCATCTTGGGTGCTCGCGCTTGCTTGCTGTAAGGGCGGCCAGCTGCCATTTGGGTGAGCTGCCTATGGGGAGACCCGTAGGACAGGGAACTGAGGGTGGCCTCCAGAGAACAGTCAGCAAGAGAGGCCTGCAGTCTAATAGCCACTGAAGAACTGAATCCTGCCAAACACCATGTGACTGACCTTGGAAGTGGATGCTCCCCGACTCAAGCCTCAGAGGAGGTTGTAGCCTGGCTGTCAGTTTGACTGCAACCTCATCAGAAACCTTGAACCAGAGGCACCCAGCGAAGCCACCTGGATTCCTGATCACAGAGACTGCGCGATAACAAATGGCTATTGTTTTAAGCCACTAAGTTTGGGGGCAATTTGTCCCTCAGTGATAGATAATTAACATGTCAAGTAAAACAAGAGATCAGAGTGGGAATGTGCTTGTCCAGAAGGAAGGCAGCCTCAGGAATCTGGGACTCTCGTAAGCAGGAGGACCAACAGAACACAGAGCACAAGGCTGGTGTGGGAGGAAGATGCAGAGGCGGAGGCAGTGCAGGCAAATGGTTAAGACACAGTAAGGGCCACGGCTCAGACCGGGTTTCAGTCCTGGCTTTACTGCATCTCTTTGCATCACTTATTGAACCTCCCCAAGTTTCAGCAATATCATCTAACAGTACCCCCGTCATAGAGATAACACATCTAAAGTGCACGGAGCAGCCCCTGCCACAGAGTGAGTGGCTGGCAGTTATGAATGGGGCTGGACTGGAGAAGGCGGCCTAACTCACTCTGAAGGGCGGTCTGTCTGTTCAGCAGGTTGGGGAGGCTGTGAACTTTTCCTGATGCGTTAACTGCCCAGGGCAGGGAGGGACTGCAGAAGCAGCGCCGAGGAGGTGTGAACTTACTTCTTTAGGTGGATCATCAGGTACCGGAGGGTCTCATAGTGGGCAGGAGGAAGCAGCATCAGCACTTCGTGGACCGCTTCCAGCCTCTCATCCGCACTGGAGATTTCTGTGAAGATCACACGTAATGAATATACGTGCAGTGTTGAAACATTAAAGTTTTCAGGGAAGTAACAAGAAGTTTGGTTTGTTCAGGTTGCAGAAAAAGGGGCAGTCTACTAACGTTTCACTTAAAGTAATCAATGTGTTCTGTGTCTTGCCGTATTCCAGAAAAGGGTTTGAGGCTGGGAACCACGTGCGTGTTGAACGTCCACTGGCCGTGTGGCAGGAGGCTGCCCACGGTCCTTGCCCTCCAGAAACCTGCAGCCCTGTAGATGCTTGCTGGTGGCACATGCACCGACTGTGTTTTGCCCATCTTCTGAACACTGGATTTGCTAGAAAACTCACTATCCCCAGCTTTAGTTTAAATTGGACCACACTTGGGAGTGTTCTCTTGAAGTTGTCTACCAGCTCTTTCCGTGGCAGGCTTCCATGACGGAATACACTCTACAATGCAAGGGCACTGGCAGGTGAGCCAGCCAACTCAGTCTGCACTGATGGCACTTTTCACCAGAATGCTGGCACGGTTAAGCCCAGTGTGCCGTCCAGGTTAGGAAGTAGATAGTAGGTATATTAACAATGGGAGGAAGCATGCATGCTTCTGCCTTTTAGGACTCTGATAGGTATTGGCAGCCACTCAAAGAAAGCTCCCCTGGTCACTCCTCCTGGGGCAGAGGGCACCCTGCTGCCAGAACCTTCTCCCCCAAGACCACCAGGACCCAGGAAAGAATGCTCTCACCAGGGAGTAGGGCCACAGCTCATCTGGAAAGTACACCTTGCACTAATCCCAGCCTGACCACATCTCTCCCCATCAGGCATCTTGTTATTATATTTAGCAACACATATCTTTAAAGGTTATATATTTTTTTAATAAAAAGTTCCTTGAGGTGTGCTTGACTTCTACGTCATTCATTCTAGCACCTAAATCTCCCCTTCCTCACTATGCTCCTGGACAAAGTGTAGTGCAATTCCCCCCACACCCCAACACACATATACGCACTATGGTTCTCTCTCCTGATGGTGGTGACCCAAGCGCCAAACCCTGAATGAGCAGCTATGGACTGATGGAAGTCCAATGCTGACGTGCCATCCCTGGACCTGTGAGCTCAGCTCTCCAAGCCTAGCTTTCCTCCTCTGTACAACGGGATTAGAGTACGTGATTCATCAGGTAGATGGGAAGATTAAACAAGAAGATATTGGTGAGAGTTCCTAGTATAGTAGGTGACACAGTATATTCTGGGCCTATTACTAATTTTGAACAGCATCAATGTGCAAAACTTGGGGTATGACTTTAATTGATTAGCAATGGGATTCTGCCTAATAGATGAAAGTAGTTAATCTATACAGTCCTCATTGAAGAACATCTGACTGTTTGCTGCAGAAACATTCTGCTTTCAACATATAAGAGTAAGCCTGACTGTGCTGGCTCCCAGCATAGGAGAAACGATGGGGAGAGACAGAACTGCCTGGCACCTAGCTTCAGCCGAGCAGAGCTGGCTTAGTACTGGGTCAACTCGGCTGATGAAGTATGCCTGGTTTTCTTTTAACTGCACCATTGTGCTCTCGCTTGGCAAAGCAAATCCTCATGCAATAATTTAATCAGGTCTGAGTTTTAATTTTCTTGAAGTCAAAAGCATTGCACTTAAAACTTTGGTGCCATTAAAAAATTAGTTCTCCATACTTACTTGCTGCTTCTATAAATTTGGAATAGGTATCATAGGTGATGACAGGAATGGGTAAGTCTCTGAAATACAGTTTAAGGGCTCCAGTGATGATGTTTATGTCTGGATAGATGTTGGCAGATATATCGGCCTTTTCACCATCTGAAAAACAATCAATGATCCAATTCCTAATTAGGACCTTATTTCACCAAGTTAAAGCATGCCCAGAAAGAAAAAAAAGATCCAACAATGAATGCTCCTTTACAAGTTTCAGCTGACTACTTTGGCTTCTAATAACACTGAGATGCAGGAAGTAACAAAAGAAGTTTGGTGAGAGGGATTTTGGGTCCGAGGGTAAGTGCAGCCAAAAAAGTAGTGAAATAGACTTAAAATAGTTCTTTGGGTCCCAGCCCCTGGTAATTTGCTAAATAGAAATCTAGCACAGTAATTTATATTCTAGACACAAAGGTTCATAATAGAATAACAATCTAATTTGAAGTAAAAAAAATCAAGAATCTCTTATTTAGTATTCTTTGGACTCGGATTTGAAGATCACATACAGAAAATAATGGTTGAATATCTTCAGTTTCTAATATCTCTTTCAGGCCTACTGAAGTTTCTTTTCACTTGATTATTTCTCCCCTAGTCCCTAGGACTTTAATCTGGGAAACTTTAACCTTCCCTCATGTATAGGTAATGTTATATTTCTTACTATTTTTACAATCATTCTGAAGACATTTTTTGACTTTTTGTTTTACCATTAGTAAATACCAGTCCAATTTAATTGTTGCAGTCTATAAAACTTTTTGGATAGAAAAATGTTTCAATCATATAGGGATTATTAGCATTTTCCTTTATACAGAGAATTGAAAGAACAAATGCCTCAGCAAATTTGGTTCTGAGGATTAAAAAAGCTCCTAATGTACAGAAAACAATAAGAGTGTAGCAGATATGCCATCTGATCCCCTTATTTATGTACTTAACAAATATTTATTGAGAGTCTACCATGTGCCAGGCACTATTAAGCCCTAGTGCATCAAAGAAGAAAAGACAGACGGTTGTCCCTCAGTATCCAAGGGGGATTGGTTCCAGGAACTTCCCACTGCGTGGACACCATAATCCAAGGATGCTCAAGTCTCTGATATAAAATGGCTTAGTATGTGCATATAACCTATGCATATCCTCCAGTATACTTTAAATCATCTCTAGATTACTTACAATACCTAATACAATGTAAATGCTACATAAAGACTTGCCAGCATGTGGCAAGTTCAAGTTCTGCTTTTTGGAACTTTCTGGAATTCAAAAAAATATTTTGGATCCATGATTGGTTGAATCTACGGATATGGAACCTGCAGATACAGAAGGCCAACTGTACTCCCTTCAAATATAACTCTAGTTAGACTGGGAGTCAGGCCTGCAACTCAACAATTACAAGGAAATAAGAAGACTGCTGTGCTGGAGACATGTGGAAACAAGGGGGCGGGCAGAGGAAAAGGAAATGGAATTCTTAGGTCAGCTTGGGGAGGTTGGGGAGGAGTCGTGACAGAGGAAAGACTTGAGCTGACACCTGATGAATAGGTAAGTGCTTGCCAGGCAGAGATGTGAACACATCCTAGATGGACAGAGCAACATGAGCCCAGGTGCTTGTTCATGAAAAGAGGTAGGGTGTATGTCAGTATTGCTGGGGTACAGAGTATACAGACAGGAGGAACTGGCTATGAGCCTGGACAGATAGGGCAGCTAGATCATCAGAGACCTTGTCTACTACTCTACAGAGTGCAGGTCCTAGCTAGTGGGCTAGACGTTCCATCTCTGATTGGCTGTACCAGAAGTATTTGGATCATTCAACAGATATACAGATTCTTGGGCTCACTCAGCTTCCTGAATGAGTCCCCAGGGTGGGCCCTGGTGATCTGTATTTTTAGTAAGTTCCCAAGTTGGCTCATGATATCTGACCTAAGAAAGAATATGGCCTAGAGGACGTATGGCACAGTCACAAAGAACAAAAGGAGTTACCTCCTAAACTTCCCCGACTTCAGTGCCAGGGGTACCCCCATCCCTATGCTCTCTTCTCTGGAGCTCTGGGAGAAGAAATCAAAGGGATCTGAGATGGAGGATGCAGAAGGTACCCTGGTGCCATGTGAACTGACCATAAATGTTGGGCGACCAGGTCAAGAACCTTAATGGCACCAAATGCTGTCTGATCATTTTCAAGTAGTATTTTAAACTCACTTCTCCGTATGGTCAACTGTCCACGACTTTTAAAAAAACACTTTCCCCAGAGAAGCAGAGAACTGTGATATTTGTGAACCGTTACTCCTTGGCTTCCTAAAGAATAGCTCTCAGTAGCTCTAAAAACCCATTTCCATTATGAGTAAAACCTGGTTCCAAAAGAGAGGATGCTAAGGAGAAATCATTTGGCACTCAAGAACGTGCAAGCCTACCTCTGTCAAATGCCATTTTGACATCTTCGATGTGTTCAGTAAACCCGGACACTCTATAAAGCCCTTCTGACTTTAATCCTGTTAAAAAAAGGGACAGACAGATTTTAACTTTAGCTTCCTAAAACATCTAAAAGAGAATCTGATTTCCTATCTACACTGCGTGCTATCAGGAAATGAGCAAATATAGTCAGTGCTCTTATATATTACATACTGTCACGTCAGAACTTGAACTTGTCCATCTCGGTTTCTGTGCAAGTCTGTCTTCATTTGCTTGTGTGGCAGTGGAGACCTCAGCAATCTGGTATTCCTCCTGCCTGGCTTTGCAAAGTGAACCCATGGTCAAGATTCTCATCAACCGTGGTCTGCTGCTTCCTTTGTTCATCTGACAGCTGGATGTGATTTCACTGCAGCAAACTGTTTTCCTCGCAGCATCATCTCAATCCATATGCCATACTGCATGTAGCGTGTACTAGGTACCCAGTACAAGTATGCATGTGTGTGGTACATATTACCCTGATTTTACTGGAACTATCCAGATTTTATAGCCTTATATGTTTCATCATAAACATGACAATATGTTATATGTTTAACTACATATGATTGATTTAATTGGTATACCTTCAAATAAATGATCATACAAACGGATGCAGGAAAATAAAATTCTATTGAATGATTCTGGAAACTTGATCGCTGTATATTTAGTCTAAGAAAAAAGATGTGGGTTCTGCTCCTAGATCTCATTGATTTGTTAAGATATTTCCAAAGTATCAGAAGGGATAGAGGACAAGATTTCAGACCTTTTATGTCAAAAACTAGCTGCTATCAAACTGTAGCTACAGCAATAATAAATAAGCAAATAAATAGCTTCTACTGCTGCTGCAGTATACTCTGTCAAACTCCTGCTAACTGACATGCATTTCTGTTTTTCACATGTACTATCTGCCATATGTAAGGGCTGACATCGGGTCTGCATCAGAGACAACAAATGCATGGCACACATACTACCCCTCCTCTCTCCTGTGACCAGAGGAGACATTCTTGATTGACCTCAGCTTCTTCTCCTACTGAGCCCCACTCAGTTTCAGAATTCGTCTCAGGACAGTTGTCTAGGATGCCACTACCGATCAAATGAATTGGCCCATAAGATGAGGCCCGGTGTCATCCTGTTCTAGTTGGTGGTGCATGTAAGCACGCTCCAGTCCAGTTGTAACCTGCACGGCAACAGAGGCAAGGACACAGTGGCACAGGGGAGCACAGTGCAGTGGACACTAACACTGCCTTTTGATAGAATAGGCCATGGGGAAGGTCTTACTGAGGAGCTATCTTTAAAGGACATCATGAAGGACAGGCTGGAGTTTGCCAGAGTTAGCAGAGGCTGCCAGCTCCCCGTCCAATACTAGTTCTCCACTTCCTCTGTTGTGATAAAACCCTTGGTTTTTAGAACAACATCCATCGCAGAGGCCATTAACTCCTGGCCAGTGTGAAGAGAGCAGAAGTGATGTGTATAGTGCCTGGGTCATGGACTTGAAGAGAAAGGGTATGCCCTTTTGCTGTTGGCTGGAATGCAGATGAGACAGTGATAACCATCTGGGACCATGCACATGAGGGCAGCACTCAAGGATGACAGAGCAACAGCTGGCAGGGCCTGGGTGCCTGTTCCTGGGCAGCTGCTCCGTGAGCCCTGGGCTGCTGCCGGAGAGAGAGATTTCTAGCTTTTTGAAGACACTATTATTTGGGGTCTCTGTGACAGCATTGAAAGCTATGGGTTAAGTACATTGGTTAGACACACAGATTTGGAGGTGGAGTTAGGGGAGTTGGTCATTCCAAGAAAAAACCAAAAGAAACAACAGAGTTGAGTCCTATTATGTTGGGCCCTGTACTAGGTCACTTATATGGATTAACTCATTTTAACCCTCATAACTACCTTAGGAGGTACAACTGATTCTGTTACTTTAAAGATGAGAAAATAGATATTCAGATGGAGTAAGTAACTTGCCCAAGGTCATACTATAGCTAATATGAGAAGGGGTTGGGAATCTAACTTCAAGGTCATGATCTTTTCACTCTGCCATATCATGCAGAAACAAGTGGCGGTAGAAGCATTTGGAGAACAACAAGAAGTTTGCTATGGGTGGAAGACAGGGTAAGATGTTGGCAGTGGTGGCAGTGAAGCTGGGAATGGCAGCACCACGTGAATTTCTTCCAGCCCATCCTCTGGTTCTGCTCACATGCACAGGCCCCTAATGCCTGTAGCTCCAGTCCCTTTGCTGTGACTTCCGTATAAATTCCTCACTTGTGCTATTCTAGCTCTTGTACTAGACTTGCTTAGTGCTGTGCTCCCCGTGGACACATTAGACACCTGATGTGGTAGTGACTTTGCCCAAATTATTAGTAGTCTCTGATGAGGATCCCTATGGGATGATCCCAGCTTCTTCAGAGAAGCGGAAGTCCTGACTGCCGGCTCTGGAGAGGCTGATGATCTGACCCTTTGGGGTCGCGGAGTCCTCTAAACAGCAGGACCCAGGGCTGCTCTTCCCAGCCACTCATCCAGAGTCAGGGCACCCCCCTCAACTCGTACTCAGCTCAGCCCCTGCATCAACAGCTTCACCAGATTCCAAAGCTCCCATTCAACTCTGACAGACACAGCAGTCAAAAGGCAGGAGGCATTTCTTACAATTTGAGATGAAATGAGCAAGTCTTAAGTTAACAGAATAGCTATCGTTTTCATCCTGTATGGAAGAGGGAATAATTTCCTATCTCTAAAAGCTTTGGGATAACAAGTTACAATACCCTCCTTTGCTTTGTTTTGGAAAGAATGGGATGGTTGGCGAATGCATAAATACCTGTAGAATATATTAAGCCAATTTGGACACAATGATGGATACCAACTATAGCAGGGTAAATACATGGCAACAATGGTAAAAGCCTTTCCAATTATCCAAATTACATCCAACAATCCAGTTCTCCCTAACCAGGCTCTATCCACCATATCACTGAACATTTTGATACTGAAAAGTGGCCGAAGCACAAATAAAGGAAAGATGACTCAAGCATAATATAAAGAATCTCTTCTTTGAAATGTTTCTATCTTCCTTGCCTTCTCAATTTTCAGTGAATAGATCTTTTCAATTTTTTAACTCTCCTCTTTGAAATAAACAGAACCAATACTAGGAGTGAATTGCTATATGGTAGAAAATATATGTGTTGACCCAAAATTTCTTTACTTATTTAATAGAAGCACTTTCAAAGACTCGATTCAAACCTCACCTCTGCCATAAACCCTTTCTGAACTCTCCTCAGATAAGATTAAAATGTTTCACTCTGTGACTCCGTGGTTTTGTTTTTAATAGTGTTTTGAGTATATGTACTCACAGCATTTATTTATTTGCCCCCAACCCCCGATTCTGCACATTATGCTATGAATTTCCTGAAGGTGTGACTTTTATATCCCCAGTGTGTAGCCCGTGATAAATGCTTAGCAAGTGTGTGTTAAGTGCATACATGCATGATTTATGTATGACACAGAAATGGATGTCATTGGTTGGATTTGGCACGTGTGCATGCGCGCACGGGCCCGGGCAGACCATTTCCCCAAGATCAGTACTGGAGAGTCAACTGAACAATTATAAGGGAGTCTCCTTGACAACAGTAAAAATAAAATCACTCTAAGAAGCAGGTGTGTTTTTTCCAAACCTCTTGCTTCAATTTCCCGAATGCACATGTCAACCACCATGGGTCTCTGCGTGTTGTGAGCCTTCACGAGTGTTGTCAGGTCACAGCAGTACACCTTCTTGACCCTCTTGAGATCAGGTTGGCAGTCATTGGGAACATGCTTGGAACACTGTTTGTGTACGTTCAATCCACAGTCTGTAAACAAAGAAGCCACATTACGCTTGCCTGGCCGTTTTGTCAAAGCTCAACACAAATTATATGTTACCAAAAATAAAAATGAGAACACCCGGAGTTTGCTGTATCTCTCTGAAATATCCATCCCACTTAGAGGTGATGCTGTCCACAAGGTGAGTATGAAATCTAGCTTTACTCATGAAACTTATATAATTCCACTTTTCTCAGTAATCCTTCTCTGTGGCTGGACCATAAGAATAGAACATCTCATGGAGATAGTTTTGGTAATTAGCCAGGTTGTTTGTATGCTTTTTTTTTCCCTTTTGGAACTGGAAACTTTGGGTCCATATGAGGGCTTTTGGGTTTGGATTCCCAGAGCAAATTGTGTCTCATAAAGGGCACCTAGGACTTTTGCTAGGTTGTTTCCCTTAAGCTCGTGACACTCCTTTTACGGAAGACATGATGACTGTCTCTGTAGGAATCTCTAATCTTTGGTCTGAGAGACCCATGACCATTGGCATCCTCTTTCGCATTCCTGGAGAGTTGCCCATACTTTCCACTCCTGTCCTCCTTGCTGGGCAGTTTCAGCAGGCCATTCTCCTTTCTACTTGCCTTATTTTGACACCTGTTGAGCGGAAATACTGTCTAACTGGCCACCGGTGGGAGTACCCGAGAGTTTACAATTTAGAACAATGCCATGTAATGTGATGATAAGACTAATTATTCATAAAGCTCATATCAAGATCCAAAGCTGAAAAGGTGCTTTTAAGTTCAATGTGCACATTAAAAGCCTTATTAGCAGTTGGTATCCACTGATGGAATCTCTCTAACAATAACAAGGCACAGTCTACGTTCTGGAAAATAAAAATTTAATGCTGAAGATGTTCAAAGTTGATTTGGTATCTATTCAAAGTACCTTCTAATACTGATTGTTTTTATAGGTGTAAAGAATAATAATATCAATTTTTTATTTTATATACATATTATACACACACGATAATGAATATTGTAATCAGTTTCTTTAAATAAAAGCACTTAACTACACCAAGGATTTGAGAGGATCTAAACTTTTGCAAAATCATCAGAAAACGATTTTTGTCATTACATGATTTTCGTGTCGTGTTTACTGGCTGAGTTCTGTCTATCCCCCTCCAAAGACAAAACCAGTTCTAATTGTCTTAGCTTTATCAACATGAGAAGTTCAGCAAAGCTCAAGTAAACTTCAATAACATTTGATAGATCTATTTAGTGAATACAAAGGTTGGTGAACTGAACTAAATAGAATAGGCTGGTTTTCTTGTTTGGATATAATAGCACCGTTATCATGCGGATCAAATAAATTACTATATGTGAAGTCTGAAGTGTGGGAACACTACATGAGAGTTAAATAGAAGAAATAACACATACGGTGATAGAAAATATAAGGATACCTGCCCAGCTATTCTTAAGTTATTTCATTAGTCATTTTTACTCACTGAATTCTTACAAACTTCATTTAAAACAATTTTTTTAGAAATGTGGTAAAATACACGTAACATTCACCGTTTTAGCCATTTAAGTGTATAGTTTAGTGGCATTAGGTTCCTTCCCACTGTGTGCGGCCACCACCACCGATCTCCAAAGCTTTTTTGCATCTTTCAAAGCTGAAACTTTGTACCCATAAAACAGTAACTCCCTGGACCCTCTTCCCCTCGGCCCCTGGCAACCACATTCTGCCTTCTGCGTCTATGAATGTGACTACTTTAGATGCCTCATAGAAGTGGAATCATACAGTATTTGTCCTTTTGTGACGGGCTTATTTCACTTAGCATAATGTCCTTAAGGTTCATTCATATTGTAGCCCATGACAGAATTTCCTGAAGAACATTCCATTTAAAGGCTGAATAATATTCCATTTTATGTATATACCACATTTTGTTTATCCATTCATCCACTGATGGATACTTGGGTTGTTTCTACCTTTTGGCTGTTGTGAACAATGTTGCTATCAACGTGGGTGTACAAAGGTCTGTTCCTTTCAGTTCTTTTGGGTATATACCCAGAAGTGGACTTGCTGGATTATAGCATAATTCTATTTTTAATTACTTTATAAACTTCATTTTAAGGTCTGAAATGACAGTGTTTTTATGTAGAGTTAAATACTGATATTTTATTAAAATGAAGATGTTTTCTAACAAGTATAAAAATATTCAGTTTTTGCAAACGAATACAATTCTATATGATATAAATAAAGTCTAGTTAATTTAAAAAATATTTAAATTATGTAAAATATGGAGAGTTGAGAGGTAATGATGGATATTCCAAACATTTAATGATCAGTTTTCAGTTCTCCTGCTGCTCAGAGGAAGTATGAGGTTAAACAGTGGCCATTGGAGAATAGTAACATAGCCTTAGAATTATGTTTTATTTAAAAAAAAAACAAACACAGAAAAAAAAACCCCAAAAAACCCAAACTCTCTTATCCCAGAGCAAGTTGCCGTTCACAGCTAATCTGAATCCCAGAGTTTTGTTCTCATAATATTGACTTTGGACCAGTTTCCTGCTGAAATTGGATAATAGAAGCAATTAGGGATATTTTTGGTAGGTATAATCTGAACAGGTTGAACTAATGACCACTGAGTAATTCAAATATTCCACCACTTTTCTCAGTGGTTGAACTGTGAGATACTTTGTAACTTTTGTGGTAATCAGAGGTATCTAGATCATTTCTGGAGAGTCTGCCTCCAAACCTACATTTACTGCTTGCCTCATGGATCTGGGATGGGGGCAGCCAGACGAATTGACATACACGAGCACTCCTGGACCCGTCCAGGTATCACCATAGGTGATTGCTGTATCTATATACTAGAAGCTGAAATAGCCCTTTCCAGGCAGAGAAAGGATTTAAGGTCCCATGATCCTGTGAACCAAAATGGGCAGTATGGGGAAATAGATCATCATTTTTAATTTTTATTTTTTAAATTTTTATTGAAGTATAGTTGATTTACAGTGTTGTGTTAGTTTCAGGTATACAGCAAAGTGATCAGTTATGTATCTATCTTTTTCATATTCTTTTCCCATATAGGTTATTATAAAATATTGAGTTCTCTGTGCTATACAGTAGGTCCTTCTTGTTTATCTATTTTACATATAGTAGTGTTTATATGTTGCTCCCAAATTCCTAATTTATCTCCCCCGCCACCTTTCCCCTTTGGTAAACATAAGTTTGTTTTCTGTGTCTGTGAGTCTGTTTCTTTTTGTAAATAAGTTCATTTGTAGGAAACAGATCATCTTAATGTAGTGTCATTAGCTTATTTTAAAAGCTTCATAAGAATTATTTTTTAAAATCACACCCTAGCAAGAAAGAAATCAGTCATGCTGTCAGTGGAAACCCGGTCAATGTATCACAGGAGGCTATCCTTGCTTCCGGCCGGAACTGTTCGCCAGAAAAAGCATGGCATGATGAAGTAGGAAGCCTGGTTACACATTAATTTGGCCATTCTTTGCTGTTTTGTTAGATGTATCTTAATAAGATATGCTGTGTGCTCTTAGCAATGGGTGTGTGTGTCTAGTTCTAGATGGAAAAACACCTAGGGTTTCAAAGTACTTTGAAAATATGTGATATCAAATCAAGGTGTGTATTTTCACTGCTAATCTGATGGCAGAAAAATACTGGGCATGATGGGCTCTGGAGCCAAATCAATGTTCCACCACCTACTATGTGGCCAGGGGCAATTAAAGATTATCATTAAGGCTCAGTTTCTTCATCTATTTAATGGGGAGAATAACTGCATCTCCCCGAAGGTTCACTGGTGAGGCTAAATGGCATGATAAATAGAAGATGGGAAATTAATGTAACTTTTCTATCTATGCAATTCCATTGGAATTGATTTAGTTTTTTCTTTTAAGGACAGCTACCTAGTTTGGATGGCAGGTAGGTGCCTAAGAAAATATACTCCCCTGGATTTTTTTCTTTTCTTGTATAAACAGAGATAATCCTTTTCATTCTAGCAAACACCTAGAGGAGTTTCTCCATTAAGCACAGAGATGCCTTGAATCTTCCAGAAAGCTAGACTTCTGAGCTAATCTGGGCCTATTTCCCCGCTCTGGAGAGATGCCCTCCAGCTCATCATTGCGGCGCTTGATGTAAATGGAAAAGGGGAAGGAAAGCTCCGTGCCTACCTGAGCATCGGACTCCTTGGGCAATAAGCCCCCACATGAAGTTGGCACAGTATTCACACCAGTGCGGGCCTCGGAACGTGTGGACCTGTGAGCCGAGACGAAGAAAAGTGTTAGAGAAGTCAGTCACCTGGAGGCAGGTGGCCTTGGACATGAAACGAATAGACACCAAGGAACAAAGGCCTGAGTGGGAGTGAGCATCCCTCACTGGGCGTTTTCTTTCCAGTGGGGATGAGTTGCGAACAGACCTGGAAAAAACAGAGATGTGCTTTGATTTCTGAAAATCCTCCACTGAGCCTCCATGCCCCACACCAGAGCCAGAAAGGAATGTGGAGAAACAGTAAGAGGACAGGCCATGCCATCAGCTAAGGAATGAGACTCTCCCTACCCCAAACAAGGCACTGTATGGAAAAACCCAAGAGAGCCTGAGCTGGTTGCTATAACCTGCATTTAGCTCAGCAAGTTCTGGAAGGCAGACCTCAGTTACTGTGGCCTTTTGACCAAAGCTGCCCTATCTATAGAATATCCAGGTAGGTATAAATAAGACATGACTATGGGAAAATTAGAAGGTTCCAAGGCTTTAAGCCACTTTCAGAAGAGGCATTTAAAAAGTGAGGGAGTTCGGGCTTCCCTGGTGGCGCAGTGGTTGAAAGTCCGCCTGCCGATGCAGGGGACAAGGGTTAGTGCCCCGGTCCGGGAAGATCCCACATGCCGCGGAGCGGCTTGGCCCGTGCACCATGGCCGCTGAGACTGAGCGTCTGGAGCCTGTGCTCCGCAACGGGAGAGGCCACAACAGTGAGAGGCCCGCACACCGTAAAAAAAAAAAAGTGAGGGAGTTGGCTGAAAATGAAGGATACCAATAGGGTCTATAGAATTGCCTTCCCCAGAGAGGTGTCTGCATTCAGTAGGCCCCGGTGTGACCTCTGGGTGTGTGTAGGTTGAAAGTCCCTTCTGATTGGCCAAGGTGCCAGTCTCATTGGTTGGTGGCCAAGTCAGTTGTTAAATATTTTGAACATCATGAAGTAAGGATGGTCTTATCTCTCATTATTCAGGTACAGGTCCACCTGTGACAGGACCATGTATTAAGTCATGATTTAAAACAAAAATAAAACAAAACAAAAATACATGTTCCTGGGCACCAATGAGCTGCAAGAAGCAGAGCTAGGGGAATCCTTGAAAGCAAATGTGGTTGAAGTAAGCCAGAAACCATCACAGGCAGTCTATTTGGGGGCATATCAATCTATGTGAAGAGGTCTTGAATTTTTACAAAATTAAAATATTATGAGACTGTGTGGCTCCTATAAGGACCTTCAAAGTTTTAAACCTCCATTAACAAATAAAAGACATGCAGACAATATTATTTTTTTAAGAGACTGGGAGGCCTGTACAGGCCTGTATAGTCAGGATGACAACTACGGTCACAATTTGGGAAGATGTTCATCAGAGCTCTACTTAAGAAAAAATGGCATCACTTTGAGATCTTTATTTATTTATATATACTAGTAATTGGGTATACATAAAGTGACAAATGAAACAAGCTTGGTTCCCTCCTAATGGCACTCACAGATTTGTCAAGGCAGAGAAAGTAGTCAATCAACCCATCAAAAAGAGCAACTTCTGACCACGGTTTCTATGCAATACAGCTCAGTTATAATAGTCTTTTGGTATTTCAGTTTGTCACATGCAAACTGCCCCCCTTATACTATTTCTCCTTTGAAAAATGATCGGGGGGGAGAAAAAAACCTCTCAGAATTATTTTTACTAAAATGGAGAATCGTGCTGCAAGGAAATGACACTAAGATATGACAAAGCACCCCTTGCTGGAATGCAGAGAATCCATCTGAGGGAGCATTTGAATTCTCCCAGAGCCAAAATGCCACGATTCATTGAAAGGCCCATTCACATTAAATGTGGTACTAAAAGAATTCCTCAGTAAAGTGTCCTACTGAAAGCTGAACATTTTACAAATTCAGCAATCAAAGGTTTCTTAATATTTTACTAGAAGTGTTCTAAAGGGACTGCTGGTTAATCATGGCAACAAAGTTGATTGCTAATATACCGTTGAAACTGCAAGGTCGATAAAATAATATGTAAATAATATATCTCAAAAAAAAAAAAAAAAAGAGAAAAGGTGCGGAAAGGGCTATAAAAGAATAAATGAGGGCTTCCCTGGTGGCGCAGTGGTTGAGAGTCTGCCTGCCGATGCAGGGGACGTGGGTTCGTGCCGCAGTCCGGGAAGATCCCACATGCCGCGGAGCGGCTGGGCCCGTGAGACACGGCCGCTGAGCCTGCGCGTCCGGAGCCTGCGCGTCCGGAGCCTGTGCTCCGCAACGGGAGAGGCCACAACAGTGAGAGGCCCGCGTACCGCAAAAAAAAAAAGAAAAAAATGAGGCTGTTACTAGAGAGATTTAAGAAAGGCCCCTGTGATATCCATGAGGGTCGAGAAGTCATCTTTTGAAAGGTGACCTCAAGCTGCTTGAAGGAAGAGAAGGAGCCAGTCTGGTGGGGGCATTGAGGCGTGCATTTCAGGCAGAAGGAATCTACGGAGGTCCTGCAGGAGCAAAAGAGCTTGGTGTGACTGAGGGACTAGAAGGCCAGGGTGGCCAGAACACCAGAGTGAGGGGGAGAGAAATTGGGATGAGGTTGAAGGTAGGACAGGGCCTTGAAGGCTTTATTAATGAGTGTGGATTTGGTTGTAATCTAGGTCCAATAGGAAGTTCTTGAAGGACTTCAAGTAGGAAGATGATTTTTTAAAAAAGATGTTCTGACCGCTGTGTTGAAAATGGAAGCGAGAGTGTTAATAGCAGAAAAGATTCAGGAACTGGGTAGTGGTTACTAGTTGGGAAATGATAGAGGCCATGACCAGGAATGTTGGAGGAAGAGATAGAAAGTGAATGGATTTGAGTTCTCTTTTGAAGATTGAATTGAAAGGACCTGACAGTAGAATAAATGTGGGTATTTGAAGGAGAGAGGAATCAACAGTGACTCCTAGATTCTCGCTTTAGAAACCGGGTGGATAGTGATGCCACTTGCTGAGCTATGGAAGACATTCTTTTGGGAGAAATTCAAGAATTCAGCTTTGAGCAGTTTAAGTTAAAATGCTGCTGAGATTCCAAGTTTTATGGTCAAGCAGGAATTCACACACAATTCAATAACTCAGAGGAGGAGTGGAACTGGAGGTATACATTTGGCCATCCGTGACAAGTAAATGGTATTTAAAATCGTGTGAATGGAATAAAAAAACCTATTAGCAATAGAGAATAGAAAATGAGGAAAATAGAGCTCAATTCCAAGCCCATGGTGCTCCAACATTTGGAGAGAACCAAGAAAGTAAAGTGTCTCAGAAGTCAAGAGGTGAAGCGTGTTTTAGGGAAGGAGTGGCCAACCAGGTTGAATGCTGGAAAGAGGTCCAGTTAAATGAGGGTTGAACTGTGATTCAGACACATGGAAGTCACTGGCAACCTTGGCAAGAGCAGTCTCTGGATTGTTGAGGGCAGAAGTCATACTCGAGGGAACTGAAGGATAACTGGGAGGCACGGAAGTAGAGAAATGTGTAGGCAAATTCGTCAAAAAGTTTGGTGGTGATGTCCAGCAGAGCAACAAAGATAGCTCCAGGGAAATATGGGGTGGGCCCTGGGAGGATTTTTTTTTTTTTTAAATAAAAGATGGGAGACATTAGGGCATGTTGACTTGTCAATGAGATTGATACAATAGGTAGAAGAGACTGGAGATGCAGAAGAGAGAGAAGCAAAGGAGTGATGATCCTGAAAAGCTGAGAGATGACGGGGTTAAGGGCATATATGGAAGCGATATTCAAAAAGAGAAACAGTTGAGATCTTTCCAGAATTGCTAAAAGACACAAAACCCTCAGATTAAGAAAAGCTAAATGAGCCTCAAACCTGATGAATAAAAAATAATTTAGACCTATACAGATTGGAGTGAAAGTGCAGAATACCAAAGAGACAAGCAAAATCCTGAAAAAACAGGTTACCTGCGAAAGGACAGCAATTAGGGTGAAAACAGACTTCTCCTCAGCAAAAAAGAGACAAGTAGATTACAGATTTCATCAAAGTGCTCAGAGAAAATTACTGCCAACCTAACTTCTATACACAGCTAATTACCATTCAAAAGCAAGGGTGAAATAAAGATATTTTCAGACAAATGCCAAGAGTTTCCACTCACAGGTCCTCACTCAAAGATACACTTAGGGATAATATAGTTCTGTAAGAAGCACATTGAACCTAGTGGGAAAGGACAGGATTCAAGAAGCCAGGGTGAGCAAGAAAACTGGGAAACACAGGCCAATCTAATCAAGCCTGTTTATGAAACAATAACAAGATGACTAATTTCAGAGGACTGAAAAACAGGATGAAAAAAAGGATATGGAAGATTCAAACAGTAAAACAAAGAAACAAAAAAGATTATTGTAGAATATAATGAAATAGAAAAATAAAAGAAAAAGGATTAAAAAAACTAACAGGTGATTTTTTAAAAGATTTATAGGATAGGCAAACCTTGGGCAATTGATCAAGAAAAAAGGCACAAACAATAAAAGAGAGGACATGAATGCAGATGCAGTAATGATATAAAACAAAAACCTCGAGAATGCTAACTTTCTACCCACAAAATTAAAAGTTATATGAAATGGATGATTTTCTTAAAGAATATAAATTATCAAAATGACTCAAAATAATATAGAAAACCTAAATTCAATTATACCCATTAAATAATTAAATCTGCAGTAAAACATCTACCCTCAAATGGTCATTGATCCCAAATGATCTTATTAGGTTTAATCGAATTTTTAAAGAACAATCTCTAGCCAATACAGACTACTGCAGAGCAGAGAGGAAAAAAAAGAAAAGCTCCACAATTCACTTAATGAAGGTAATGTAATCTTGATTCAAAAACCATACAAGAATGGTACATAAAAGTAAAATTATACATCAATTTCAATTATGAACATAAATATAAAAATCCTACTGAGTGTAGCATTATATTTAAATGTCATGACCGAGGAGGGTTTATTTCCGGGATTTAAGGTAGTTGACATATTACTAGAATTCATAACAATAATAAAACAAGAGA